ACGATTCGGCCGTTTTCGACTCATGTTTCGACCCTGTTGAACTCATGATTCGACCGTGTTCGACTCATGATTCAACCCTGTTCGACTCATAATTCGACCCTGTTCGACTCTGTCGACCCTGTTCCACTCAAGATTCGACCCTGTTTGACTCGTGATATGACACTGTTCGACTCATGATTCGACCCTGTTTGACTCGTGATATGACCCTGTTCGACTCATGATTCGACCCTGTTCGACTCATAATTCGAACCTGTTCGACTCATGATTCGACCCTGTTCGATTCATGATTCGACCCTGTTCGATTGATGATTCGACCGTTTTCGACTCATGTTTCGACCCTGTTGAACTCATGATTCGACCGTATTCGACTCATGATTCGACCCTGTTGGACCCATGATTCGACCCTGCCCGACTCATGTTTCGACCCTGTTCGACTCTATCGACCCTGTTCGACTCATGATTCGACCCTGTTCGACTCATGATTCGACCCTGTTCGACTCTATCGACCCTGTTCGACTCATGATTCGACCCTGTTCGACTCTATCGACCATGCAAAACCTCATTTAGTTTTTGGAAATGGAAAACAAATCATGAAAAGTGTTCTCCCATTTTTGCAATTTTTTACTTATTCTTTGCAAATGTAATGTCAAGTTGCTTGAGTCTTGCAAAATGCAAGCTGATCTTCGGACAATCTTACCAGAAAAAGGCAAGACTATTTTATTTTCCTGAACAATTTTTTGTAAGAAATCCTGCAAATTTCGCTTTCCCATTTATTGATTAATTGATTTTTAAAGTTAAGTACGTATAAAAATTACCGAGCACAATTCTTAACTGTAGGTCAAATGTTGACATTTTTTGTGCTTGATTCATAATTTTTTCATGCTTTCGAGAAATAAGTGACATTTCATCAGAGAGATATTGGTTATGTCATTAAAACCGATTGTCATTGTATGTCATTATAAAAAAGAAGCTATAAGACATTCAACAATAAAAACAGAGATAGATATGAAAGCGGTGCTGTCATTGTAAGTTTTTAAATAATTTCAAGTGAATCGCATCTGATATCGGACTGCACTTAATTTCAGTTTGGCTCATACCAGATCCCTGAACATTTTAGTTTGAACCATACAATTTAGCTGAATCATTTATTATTCAAAACTTTTTTGTGAGGTGCGCTGCTGGGTGTACTTATTTACATCTTACAAATGCATTACACCACTGACATATTTCTGATACCCGCTAACTTCTTATCCAATTGTTTTTCGCATGCATTAATTGCACAGAAACTCAAAGTTGAATGAAGACACAGAGCCAAACTCAATTTATCAGCAATTGTCCCGGGTCACCATTGTTACACACTTGCCGCTCTTTTTTTTTCATCGGAGACGAACGACCAGATTGAGCTTCTCGAACTCTGTCAAGATTTTTTCGGTGCCTGAAAAAAATTGCTCGGCTCAATTCGGATCTATTTTGTATGATTTCTATTGCATTTAATAAGTAACTGTCTTTCGTTCCCCACCTGCAAATTTGTATAATTGAGTTTCGTTCGGGCTATCTAATTCTCATGACATATGGCTCGTGTGTTCACTACCCAATTGCAAATGACTTTAGTCGTCAACCACGACCTCGTAACAGCAATGGTTACAACATAACATTGATTATAACAAATATGATGAAGGGGAGCGATAGAAGAATCCTAACAGTGCAAATTTATGTCGGTCAAAAAACAATTTCGCCAACTTTTTTTTTCCTACGCCTCTTTTTTCTAACGATTTGCTAATGCCTCAATTTTGCCAAAATGAGGCATTAGCAACTCATATGACTATGATGACATGAGCAGCAAAATGAGGCATTGCGACCATGAGTTAACTAAAAATCGTCAGTTTAAATTTCATTTTTTTTTTGCTCAAAAATTTCAAAAGTTTCTGATGATTTAGTTTTCAATATCATTCAAGGCGGTTAATTCAGGCGTTAACAAAGCAGATAACTAACTAAAAGATCGACGAATCAAAAGAAAAATTGCAATTTAGTTTGATAACATCGAGCACTCTAAAGTTGATTTTTCTGAAGCTAAAACAAGTCTTGAGGAATATTAGTTTCAAACAATTTTAGACAACCAAATATAACATATCTCTAATAATTTGATAAAACATCCCCCAAATTGCTAAATGTTGTCGGCAACCAGCACTATCTGATTATTTGCCTTAAATTTGCTTTTAAAAAGACTTTCGTCAAAACTTTCGAAGTTTTCAAAAAAAATTTTCTGAAAAATTTTTCTCTCTTTCTTTTCTTTCATTCTTTTTCTGTCATGACAAAATAGTCCAGACTCAGTTGTAGAATTAACTTTTTCGTTTTCAAAATTCACTTTCAGTTTCATCACTTGCGATACAAGGCAAGCTAGAGAAAAGACAATGAGACAGAAAAATAAAAAATCCTTTCTTTAGGACAAAAAAAATTTCGGAAAAAAATCAAAAAATCTAACCACCAGTATTAAATAAAATTTTAGAAATTACCGAGCGTCCACTAAGCCGACAACATGGCTGTAGAAGCACAAAATTCAGAACAAAGCTCATTTTTTTGTCCAAGAACTTTCAAAAGTCTTCGATGATTTTCAGTTCAAAAACAAATTAAGGCTATAAAACGAAGCATTTACATATTAATTGGACCTGAAGACCTGAGCAAAATAGTGAAGCATTGAGACAATGTATTAACAAAATCATCATCAGTACAACATTTGTTTTTTTATTTTTGCAAAAAACCTCAACAACTTTCGGATGATTTAATTTCAAAATAACTCAAGGCAGTTATTTCAAGCGTTAAAAAAGCAGATAACTAACCAAAAGATTGATGAACCAAATGAAAATTCCTCTTAAACTTTATAAAATCGAAAATTTTGAAGTTGAATTATTCAACCAAGTTTTTTTAAAAACCTCTTGAAAAAAATTTCTTAAGTTGATGAGTTTTTTAATTGCCTCCTGCTGAATTGTTTTTGATCTCACCCAGCGCAAACTTGAAATTATGTGTAAATTTCTTGGAGAGTTTTAAGGATCTTGAAGGTTCTTTGACAAATCTAGAAGATTCTTGAAGATAATTCCAAGATTTTGAAAAAATTTCCAATTTGCTTGGTGGGCTGCAGAGCCATCATACATATGTTTCAAATAATCATATGAATAAATTTTGGTTGTTAACCACAAAAACAAAAATTCGATCATTAAAGTTTTTAAAAAGAAAGTTAATTAAAATATATATTTTTTGACAAATTTTGTTGCTTCAAATTTTGTAAGTGATTTCTCTTTATTGCTGACTTTATTTCTCCCTAAAATTTGCAAAAATGATTGTGAAAATTTAAACTAATTTTCTAGAGATATTTAAAGATCTTGAAGATTCTTCGACAAATCTAGAAGATTCTTGAAAAGGTTTCCAAGATTCCACAAAGTTTTATTTTCAAAGATTCTTCGCTACATCAAAAAATCTTCAAGATTCTTCAAAATCTTGGCAAGAATTTCAAGATGACTAACTCTGGGCTTCTGACGAAGTGTTTAAAAAACGATTGAAACTTTTGCATAGGCTTTTTCGATGTCTATATATTTTTGGTTGCATTATTAGTGCTATAGTTCCTCAAATTAGGTTGTTCTTTTAGTTAATCAGGCTTCAAATGCACGATCAATCTCTTCTAGTTAACTTTTGCTTTCTAGCATTCGGGGCAACCGATAATCGGGCTGGCAAATTGAGCAGCCAGAATTTGCATTATGCTAGTACGCGTATCTACTATAAAAAATTTAATTTCTAACAATTCCAATAGTACTCATGAAATTCACTCATTCTCATTGAATTCCAGGCGTAGAAATCATTGCTATGTTGTCAGGTATGATTTTGACAGTTTTGCATCAATGCTCTTCAATGACAACAGCCTCCAAGGTGTTAACATGGCCTTTCGACCTGGCGATACTTTTGACACTTATACTGGTCTTTGTTCATGTCAGTGGACATTTTTTGTGGGTTCGAAAACTGGGTTTTCTTGTGAGGGACAGACACTAGCCCTGACGTTTGTCGCATTTCTGCCCAATGTCATCTCAGCTACTAGAAGTTTTTGAAGTTCGTCTGCTTTTTATGAAATTAGCCAACACACCTGGACCTTTACTGGTACGTTTTTAGTTTTTTTTCTGAGCTTTTTTCTTTCACTCTCTTTAAAGAAGGGTCGTTTGATATCTGTAAGTCAGCTTGCCCCGACCATTGTTTTTTATTATGATTCCAAAGGCAACCGCTTAAGGTGAGTTTTTCCTTTCAAGGCCTTCTAAGTGGTTCTCTTTACAATAAAGGATGATTGAAATTATTGCATGGCAAAAAAATCAATTCTTAGCACATCTTGCAAAGCTTTAGTTATTTTAATTATATGGCAAGATAGCTATCTTGTAGGAACTTGCAAATCTCTAGTAAAACCATCACAATCACCATGCTTGATCGAAAACTATTGATTGAAAATACTTTTCTAAATGAGAGTAATAACAGCGCCAATATTTTAAAAATCTATAAAATAGCTTTACAATAACAGCCTAAAATAGCGTATTATAAATGAGCTTTGAAAACTTTTGCCCTTATTGTTAATTGTTGCAAAATATATGAATCGAAAATAAAATTTTAACTTCTCTCTGCGGTGTGCTCGCTATAAGCTAGTGGGGACTCCACATCTAACACGGACAGGTGTTCTTATTTTTCAGTCAAATATTTGAAAAAAGCAGGTCAGAAATGCGTTGCTAATAACTTTTTGGAAAATTTTGATCCAAAAGTTTTTTTGGCGCGCGCTCCCCCTGAAAATTAGTATGAATCGCTTTCACAGAAGTTTTTTTTTTCGGTAAGCCAAAAGTTGATATCCTAAATCAGTACCAAATTGGGGGCCTTTTGAGTTGGCATGGGGTCGAATCCCTGGATCATGTTATGTTCACTACATGATAGATTGATGAGTTACTATTTTAAATTGGTTCGCAAAGAAGACAACCACAGATATTACTACTTTCAATTTAACAAGCAATCATCAAAATATACTAGTTAGCAGAAAAAATGGAGTTCACTTCAATATTTTTATTGGTCCAAGGGTGCATATGAAATGCAGTCTTCTACTGGCCTTGAAGGCCAAACTTTGGAGTAAAAGTCTGCTGCTACTTTGTTTATTTTTTATAGATGATCAACAGCAAAATTTCGCAGTCTTGGTCTTTAAAATCAACTGTCTCCCTGATAGCAAGGTCTTCCAATTTGGCGACACTTCTGGCACTTATTCTGAGGATGATCGTTGTTGATGTCAATGCGATCTTCTTCCGATTTCAAAATCTGGGTCTGCTTGTGTGGATACACATAGTTGCCTTGACAGTTGTCGCATTTCTGCCCCATTTCAGCCCAAGAACTAGCACTTCGCCACTTTCGCCCACAGTTTTCGCACTGGAACTCGCCAACACACCTGGATCTTCCTTGGTACGGTGTCAGGCCTTTTCTGGGCATCCTGCCAACAATTGAAAACAAAGCATTGACGCAGGCGTGGATCTAGGAATTTCTCGAGAGGGGGGGGGGGAAGGATTTTCAAAAAAAAGTTGAAAATTTTGTCAACTTTTTTTTAGGTTGACCACATTGATTTTCTGAGCTCTCCCAAACAACTATAAAGACCTAAGTTGACCAAATTTTTTGCGCCGCAGGCAAATTTTTTAAAAATGGCCCAAAAAAAGTGTTAGAATAGATTGGCGCCAACGGTTTTTAGGGTCCGTCCTACCATATACGGATATCTCAAAATAGTACAAAGGGGGGACCCTTTGGGTCGGCAGGGGGTCGAATCCCTGATGGGGGGGGGGGGGTTCTAGCGTCCGCTCCCCGCCCCGCTTAATCCACTACTGCATTGACGGGTAATATCTTATTTTTTCAAAACCAGAATTGGCTGTTGAAAAACTTTTGAATGACCCCAGGGCGGATATTTTTTTTGGGGGGGGGGGGGGATTGCGCGGACTCCCTCTCTCAGGGATTCGACACCCTGCTGACTTAAAGGGTCCCCCCTTTGTTCTTGTGATATGCGTTGCGATATCAATTGAAAACAAGTTGTAATTCAATACTGTATTCTGAATTTTGAATTTAGTTTTTTCTTTTCTTTGTTTTGGTATTGGTTACTGAGATCTAGATCAGTGCTGAAAACTCTGATCTGTCACTTAGTCTCAATGTCATCACACACTGTGACCCTTGAGTATACCATAAAAGTAATAAGTAAGCACCGTAGGTTGGTTGTACATACATAAACAATTACTGCTACTGCAGTAGCGGTATGACACACCCCCCTCGGTAAGAGGAAAAAATTATACAACATAAGTAGAACAATTTATTTAAAAAGAATTCACTGTACTCAGTTCTCAAGAAAGTTGCTGGGTTACTTGAAGGTTTAGTTTATAGACTTTTCAATTTTCTTCCAGCTCTATTTCCCAACTCGGGTTCCATTCCACTCCTTCATCTAGCGTAGCATACCCAAATTTTCACATGAATAAGTGTCGTTCGAGCCGTCTTATTTTCGATTCCACCGGTCTGTCGCTTCGTTCCTTGAAGTCTCTTAGTTGATTTCGATATTCCTGAATTGCTGTTTTCAGGAGTGCTCCCCCTGTCAGATTCTCTGATATCTCTTTAATTGAGTGCTTTATCGTGTCACCAAAGCGTTTCGGTTCCTTGTTTTTCGTTTGCCTGGAGCTTCGTCTGATACCCGACTCTTCGGTACTCGACTCATCCGAGAATGAGTTCTTGAGGTGGTTCGAATGTCGCATCTTTCTCCGAAATTTGTTGTGGGTTTTTTCTAATTTCGTCTGCAACTCGCTGAACACCTCGTTTTAGTAATTGGTCTGCATATTTTTCCCACTCGGAAGGTGCTAAATTTCGGTTGTGGAATGTGTCGATCATGTCCTCTGGAGGTGTCTGGGAATCAATACATTTCAATTTTGACCGCTGTTTTGATTTAGGTGTAGAGCTGGTCTGAGTTTTTTGATCTAATTTTCCCGACTTTGAAGTTGATTGCTCCTGCTCCAGATCGGCTGCCGTCGCAGTTTGGCTTGTCCCCTGTTGTTGCTTGTTTTGGTTTTTCTTTTCTTTCGCTTTCTTCTCCGTCTTCTTTTTGACGCTTTCCTCTGTAGTTGAACTTGGACCCGCCAGATTTGGTTTTGCTCTCTTAATTGCCAAGTTCAGGCCTCCCCCTGCTTCCGTGTCTTTTGAAGTCACTACTGTTTGGCTCTTTTGGAAACGATCTATGGGATTCATCGCTTCTGCGATCTCCATGGCTCGTTGCAGTTCTTCATCTGATCCCAACTCCTCGAGTAATTCGGGGGAACTGATCCTGTGAAACTTTTTCGTAGGTTCGGCCGATGGACTCTTACTCGCACTCCGCTGATTTTCCTGGGTCGGCACTGTTTTCGATTGTGCAATATCCGACTTCCGATAGATAGAGCTTGTAGACGTCTTGATCGTTGAGTCTGTTTCGGAAGCGATTTTCCCTTTTAATTGTTTTGTGAGTGCTTGTTCACTTTTTCTTAGCGGGTCCTTTCTAAGTATTGTCTTAGGCGGGGATTTACGTTGATCTTCAACTTTGTCTCCAATAAATCCTTTCTCCCATGAGTATATCATCTCCTTTCGTAGATCAGGATTTAGTAGTCCAGTCTCGTCCACTAATCGTCTGATATCATTTTTAGCCGCATCTCTTCTCTCGTTGTTCCAGCGGGCGTTCGCCTCCAACAGCTCCTTTAGGGCTTTAGCCCTCTCTTTATCCCTGTCCGATGTTAGTTGCTGCTTGTGCAGTGGGCTTGTATCTCTACTGAGTTGTCCTCTGCGTACTATTTTGAGGTTCTCTCTTGATTGGTCATTTCTGCGTTTCAACTGAGAAGCCGTCAATGCTGAGCGTTCCAAGTGTTGTTTGTCTAAATAGTCAGAATTGTTTAAAAACCTATCCCTCAAAATTCTAAATTCCGTTTTTGGTAGTCTGCCAAAATGCGCTTGAAATGGGGATACTTGATTGGTTTTCTGCTTGTTCCACCGCAAATCTCTCATTATAATACTAAGACATAATTTGATCGATTTATTATTTTCTTCGAGCAACATCACCCCCAGTCTTCTTTTAATAGTTTGGATTGTACGTTCTACCCAACCACACTTTCGGTGGTCCCCCACCGGACAGATTTTTTGCTCGATATTGAGTTCCGAACAAATTTTCTTCAGCGTTTTCCCTTTAAAGCTTGAAAATTGATCAGAGCGAATTGATTCGGGAATCCCATGTGTGTCGATATACGATCTCAAGAATTTTACTGTGCACTTCCCACTTGTAGATTTCGTAACCTTCACCGATGGAAATTTTGAGAATCTATCTATAGCTACTAAGAGGTAGATTTTTTTTCCTTTTTGATTTTCTATGGGCCCGCGTAATCTAATTGTACTTCCTGTCCCGGCTGCGTAAGCAGTGGCAGTGGTTTTGACGTGTTTTTCGAAATAAGATATTTTACATTCTTACCGTATCTGGTACAGCTACGGCACTCCTCGGCTAGATTCACAATGTCCTTGTTCATATACGGCCACCACAGGTATTGTGATGCTCCTAGCATAGCCTCTTGGCCTGGATGCCCTCGATGTATTCTTTGAGAACATATTGTCTATTGTTCGATTATAACCGTTTGTTCACCGAAGCGCAGTCGTCCTGCACTGCCATCTGCGACCACAACGGGTTCGTATAAGGTCCCATTAGTTCGAAGCCTTGTTTGTCCCCTCTTTCTATCACTCGTCTAAGGCGGTCCATCCATGTGTCTTTGGTGGTTAATTCAGTCAACAGACTTTTGTCAAACAGTTTTGCCAAATTGTCCAGGGTCTCCTCTTGCTGCTGCTTCGGCAGTTTTAGTTTGCTCAACGTCTTCGGCGGTTCGATTGCACACACTTCTTCTTCACTCTCAGCCTCTTCTGTGGTCGTCAGGTCCATTTCTATGTCCTGCACCTCACTTAGTTTTCTTTCCGCCGATGCGGTTGGTTTGTGTATCGCTGAACTTTGTCCATATTCTGAGCTGTCCCTGACCTCCTCTGTGTGTGCCACCAATTCTCAATTGGGTTCCCGTATGTTGTCTTCTCCGCCAATTAGTTGCCAGAATGAAAGAAGTCTCTGATCTGCTTCTTGTTGTTGGTGTGGTTCGAGCGGCCATTTCACTCGTGATGCCTGTCTAGTTTCACTGTCGGAGCTATCCCTATTTTTACGGCCACCTCTTATGTTTTTTCTTGTTCGCTGTACTGTCTCTGTGATTTCCTCCTCTTCTGAGAGTTCGTTTGCATTTGTCATTGAGCGGTTCCACTTTGGGTCCAGTAGGCTCTCTTCACGTTCGTCGTTTCGCCATTCCTGTGGTGAATCCGACCACCAATCGTACGATCTGTTTCCTGACATCTCGTTCCTTGAGTCTGTTTTTTTTCTTCTGAATTTCCGATACTGATTTTTCTACGATTTTCGATTTATTTGAGACTGACTGTTTATTGAGTTGAGTTGACAAAAAAGTGATCGGTTTATGTTGAACTGCTGTGTTTAGCTGTTTTTGCAGTCGTGGAAACTGTTTTCTCTCGTTCCGGTCGAGCTTTGTTAGTTTTTGACCGTTTTTGTTGCTATAGCAACCAGTACTTGATGTCTATTTCTTTGCATTCCTTCTAGAACTTTCTAGAACGTTTTCGTTCCGGTCGAGCGACCCAGTTTCTTTGAGCCTATTGTTCATGCAGTCTAATGCTTCATGAAAGGAGTTTATTGTCGCCACTACAAACTTTTCATCTAATTCTGATTCGGGCCAGGGATCATTGTAGGGATCACGCGATAAATAATCAACTATGCCTATGTCCCTCCCCGGAATGTGAACTATATTGAACTGATATGGTAACAACCGGTCAACCCATTGGGTCAAACGGGATTGACAGGTCCTATTTGACTTGTTACCATCTAACGCTGATGTAAGCGCTTTATGATCTGTTGCGATGATAAAGGGTTTTCCCAAAAGGTAGTGTTTATATCTGTCTACTGCCCAAACAACTGCCAGTAACTCCAGTTCATTTGTTGAATATTTTTTTCTTGGGCATTCAGATATCGGGATGCGATTGAAATTGGAACTCATAGACCTTCGTCATTTTGTTGTTCCAATGTAGCCCCTAGCCCATCATGGCTCGCATCACATTTAACTCGTGTTTCTCGGTTAGCATCGTAATAATGTACTTTTGTTATATTTGCAACAGCTTCTTTTATAGCATTAAATACTACCGTGTGTTCTTCCCCCACTCAAATTTTTTGACCGGGAATTTCATGTTTTTTAAATTTTCTTTTGATTTTCTTCTTTAAGAGGTGGTCTCAATTTCTCAGTCAGGCTTGCTGCGTTAGATATAAATTAAGCTAAGTGTTTTATACTTCCCAGAAATGACATTAACTGCTTAAGGGATTTTGGCGGGTTCAGATTTACAACCGCTTCGGCTTAAGTGATT